TACCTACACAAAGGCAGATCTTCTGGTGCAGCTGTTCGCAGTCTGCTCTACTGATGAGCACTTAAATCATCCAAGAGTTGTTTCACTGCCGCAGGAGGGATGTGTTCCTAGGTCTAGCTGTCTAGTGTGCCTTTCACACTGGTCTCTTTGACACTGCTCTGGTGTTTGATATTAGTAACAGTAATTTTATTTTTTCTGTTAAATTACATGGTGGTTGGCTCTCTATAGCATAGATTATCTGTGAATTTGTAAACTGCCTCATTTCTCCCCACCCTCTCCCGGCCCCATCAAGGTTCTCAGGGTGGTACCCCATCAATTAATGACTGATTTTAAAAGAAAGTTATATGTAAAATACCAAATATACAATGTAAAATCAGACACATATAGTTTCAAACACAGATATTGAAAGCAGTGTATTAAAGCAAACAATGATGATTGCTCAGAGTTGGATTTTTCACATTTAATGGAAAGATAGATTAAAATGAACCTTTCAGGAGCCAGGATAATGAAAAGTTATTAGTCTTCCAACTTATGGACCTCTAAACAGTGGGTTTTAGGACCCCTAAAAATGGGTAAATTCAGGGCAGAGGTATCTGTAATAATCAGGCATTATGAGAAGTTTAAAACGTGATGAATGTCTCTCTTAATATTTCAAAAACAAATAGGACCATTTAGAATTCAATCCACTGCTTTATAAGCACAGGGAATAAAGAATATAGATGAGATTTTAGAATCATAGGACTGGAAGAGACCTCAAGAGGTCATCTAATCCAGAGCCCTGCATTCATGGCAGGACTAAATATTATCTAGACCATCTCTGTCAGTGTAACCTGCTCTTAAAAATCTCCAATGATGGAGATTCCACAGTCTTCCTAGGCAATTTATTCCAGTGTTTAACCACCCTGACAGAATGTTTTTCTTAATGTCCAACCTAAACCTTCTTTGCTGCGATTTAAGCCCATTGCTTCTTATCCTATCCTCAGAGGTTAACACAATTTTTTTCTTCTTCTTGTAACACCTTTTACGAAAGCTGTTACTATGTTCCCTCTCGGTCTTTTTTCCAAACTAAACAAACCCATTTATTTGAATCTTCCCTCATAGGTCATATTTTTAACATCTTGAATAATTTTTGTTGCTCTTCTCTCCACATCTTTCCCAAAGTGAGGTACCCGGAACTGGACAGAATACTCCAGTTGAGGCCTAATCAGTGAAGTGTACAACACCCCTGTTAATGCATCCCAGAATCATGTTTGCATTTTTTTGCAACAGTGTCACACTGTTCACTCATATTTAGCTTGTGGTCCACTATGAACCTCCAGAGCCCTTTCTGCAGGACTCCTTGCTAGACAGTCGCTTCCCATTCTGGATGTATGAAACGGATTGTTCCTTCCTAAGTGGAGCACTTTGCATTTGTCCTCATTGAACTTCATCCTGTTGACGTCAGACTATTTCTCCAGTTTGTCCAGATCATTTTGAATGATGACGCATCCTCCAAAGCAGTTGCAACCCCTCCCAGCTTGATGTCATCCAGAAACCAGCCCAGCACTGATTCCTGCGGACCCCACTCGTTATGCCCTTCCAGCATAACTGTCACCCATTGATAATGCGCGCTGGGAATGACTTTACAACTAGTTTTGCACCCATCATGTTGCTCTGTCTAGGTTGCATTCTCTAGTTTGTTTATGGGAATGTCACATGAGACTGTATCAAAAGCTTCACAAAAGGCATGATACAGGGAATGGTTTTCCAGCCAGCTTTGCACCCATCTTATAATAGCTCCTTTTAGGTTTCATTTCCCTAGTTTATGTCATGTGAGACAGCATCAAAAACTATACTGAAGTCAGGATATACCACTTCTCCCTCATTACCCACAAGGCTTTGTTACTCTTTCAAAGAAAGCTATTGGGTTGATTTGACACAATTTGTTCTTGACAAATGCCATTACTTTTCATCTTATCTTCCAGATTTTGCAAATGAATTCCTTAATCATTTGCTCCATTATTTTTCCAGGTATAGAAGTTAAGATGACTCGTCTGTAATTCCCTCAATTGTCCTTGTTTGCCTTCTGATTGATTGGAAATATATTTGCCCTTTCCCAGTCTTCAGGAATCGCTCCCATCTTCCATGACTTTTCACAGATAATTGCTAATGGCTCAGATACCTCATTCAGTTGCATTTCATCAGGCCCTGCTGACGTGAAGACATCTAATTTATCTGAGTAATTTTTAACATGTTCTTTTCCTATTTTAGCCTCTGATCTTACCTCATTTTCACTGGCATTCCCTATGTTATATGTCCAATCACCACCAATCTTCTTGGAGAAAAACCAGTGCTCCCTGTGAGCTGAGCACTTGAGCAGCCACCCTGGAGAGATTCAAATGCCATCCAGCTAATTAGCAGAGCACCTGCAGTGCCCACAGCTGGCTGCATGTGTTTGTACTGGAGGTGCACATCTGCACATGCCTCAGTGCACCAAACAAAATTTATTCTGCACATGGATGGAAAAGCTTAGAGGGAACACTGGTGAAAACCAAAACAAAGAAGTCACTCCTACCATTTCCACATTTTCTTTTATTATTTCCCCCCTTACTAAGTAATGGTTCTACCCTATTCTTGGTCTTCCTCTTTTTTCTAATGTTGTTGTAAAATGATTTCTTGTTACCCATTATGTCTCTAGGAGTTTGCTAACATCTGCATTGAAATCCATTATCTTTTATTTCCCCCCCTACCATTCCTTAGACCAAAGCTACTCAACTTTGGAAGCCCTGGGGGCCACAATGATACTCACAGCACATGATGAGGGCCACAACTTAAGTACGGTTGCATAGATATGTAAATATATATGCAAATATATGCAAATAGCTTCTTTCACACTGACGGACATGAATACAAAGATTAAGGCAAGACTGCACAACACGCAGGCCTCATTTATGTCAGTTCTACTGCTATTAATAAAATGCAATATTTACCCGATTTCTACCCATATGACAGCACTTTTAATGAGCAATGACAGTCCAGGAATTTAACTACTAAAATGCATATCATCAGAAGATCATTATATTGACTGCTTTTTTGTTTTAGCTTCACAACAGTCCAGGAATATAACTACTAAACACATACCAACCCAAACCACACCATGGGCCGCAAACAAATGGGTCGCGGGCCGCATGCGGCCTGTGGGCCGTGTGTTAAGTAGCCCTGCCTCAGACTCATGAGCGCTACCATTTCGTCGTCATTTTCACCCAAGCTGCCTTCCACTTTCAAATGCTCAGCCAGTTCTTTCCTATTTGTCAAATTCAAATCTAGAAGAGCCTCCCCCAGTAACTCTCCACCTTCTGAAATAAAAAAACAGTGTCCACTACATTCCCCAAATTTGTGGGCTAATCTGTGCCCTACTGTGTTGTGTTTAGAAATGTGGGACTCTATCTTGGAAAGCAGAGACAGCACGTAGGGGTTATGGTAAAAAAACCAGCGGAAGAGGAGTGACATTGGGCCGTGAAGGCTAGCACCAGCCCTGCATGTGCAAGCAAAGGAATCTGAAGTGAGTGCGTACGCTACTAGTGGAGTCAGTAATGGAGCGATGTGTCCAGTTAAAACATGACAAATTAGGAAGTATTTGAAAATGATCTATGGTTTGTGTTGTGCAGCAGATCAGACAAAGAGATCACAATTGTCCCTTCAATAGTACTCAGCATATGATAAAATCATAGTAATTAATTAGATCCTGATAGCTATATAATCTAATCCATCCTCTAGGAGGGTGTGGACTTGTTCCAAACAGGTATCAGCTAGAGCTTCATCTGCTTTAGTTGTAAAGACCCCAAAATAAAGTATAAAGATGACTGATATAATCACTGCTGTCCAATCCAAAGCCTTGCTATGAGGGCATTATTATAATCATTGGTCCTCATGGTCATAACAGTTGTCATGCTCAAGTCATCATTATTTTTACAATGTCAAATGTATCCTGGATAAAGGAATAAGTAAAAGAGAGTTTGGTGCCCTAAAATGTCACCATTTATCCATTAGAGGTGGCACATAAAGGTGGAGTAGGCATAAGGCCAGACAAGGTTTACACTACCAAGGATTGCTCAGTTCAGCTACACACACATCTAGCTGGTTTGGGTGGATTTGTGTTTGTTTTTTAACACTTTTTGAAGTTGATAGCACAGAATTGAGTGTTAGGAGGCATTTCACGGAGAAAAGGATTACGGCAATAGTGTGTTGCTCTTGCAAGTTCATTCTGAGAACTATGTGATGCAATCCGCACAAGGTGGTAAGCAAAAGAACCACGACTGTGGAAATGACAGGGTCAGTTCAGTATTTGTGTCCGTTCGATCAGTAGAAAACGTGAGGGAAGAAAGATCCCCAACACAGCCATGAAGTACAAGGATTTGCCAATAGCATCCTGTGGCAATGAGTTCCACAGTGTACATGTTGATTGAAAACCAGTTGTCTTTTATCCATATTTAATTTGCTGTCTTTCATTGAATGTCACTTTGTTCTTCAAGTGTGATACAGTGATGCCGTTGAATGCTATGACTGTTTTAGTCTGCAATTCTTAGTGCTGTAATGGACAGAAATCAGTACTTCTTGCATTTGTCAAATACAGGTGTTCCATTACATGAATGCATTTGTATCGAGCAAAAATAAAAGCAAAAGGCAAAGAAAGGAGGACAAAAAGAAACAGAAAATGCAGACCAAACAGTACAAAAATATACCAGTAACTAGCACATTTTTTAGACTACAGGTGACCTCCGTAAGTGCCAGATGCTTTTAATTAAATATTCAGAATTAAATGCTGTCACGCTAAGGTGCCCAACCTTTGTTTGTTGGTTGTTTTGGGCGGGGAGAAATGGGTGTTGCTAAACAAGTTCACATATTAGAAGATTTAAGTTTTATTTCCTCTTAACAGCACTTTTAGTTGTGGAGCTCTCCCCCCCCCACCCCACCCCCCCACTCCCC